ACCACATCATCAGGTGCTGCTTATAGATCCCCCGGTGATGATCCTCTCAGTTACAGGTGGTCATATCGCAGGGACAGTGAAGGCCAGTGATGCACAGGGAGAGTGAATGTGGACATAACAAACATGGACACGTGAGCCTGTAGAGTCTGATCCAGCCTCTGGGATGGAATGCTAATTCTCAAACCAGTTGGAAGCCTTGGTTATTTCTCATGGACCAAAGGCAAAGATGAATTCTTTGGGTAAAGTTAAACGCTTTACCCCAAAGCAGGCAAGCAGGGACGTTGGCTCACTGAATCCATGCTTGAAAGCTGGCCCTAAATTCTGCTTGGGATGAGACCACACTAGCCCCTCGAGGGCAGGAGTCTTGATCATTCCATCTGCCCTCATCATCTTTGCTAATAGGAACGGAGCCTTCTGTGTTCCACAGTGGTTAAGCGCTCAGCTCTTAAAATGGTGGGTGATTTGAACCCCTTCTGGAGGAAAATGAGACTTGCTGCTTCTGTAAGGACTGCCAGCCTTTGGAACCCTGGGGAACAGGTCTGCGCAGCCCTACAGGCTCACTGAGGCCGCACCACCTGGCAGCGAACGCTTGGTTTTGTCTGAGTGCTCGTCTGCACTCACCGAACGCTTCAAATGACTACATACCCACTCACCTTGCAAGTGAAACAAGTCACGATTGTGGCCCTCCATCACCCTGCTGGTCAGGACCTGAACCCACCTCTGTGGTTAAAAACCCCACCCTTTGAGATCAAAGGGCACACTTACTCCTGTTCAGGAGTTCAGAATCTCAGGACAGGTGGACGAACTGGGGCAGGACAAACTGGGCAGGAAGGCCAAGTGGGTGATGGGATTGAAAACGAAATAAATGTGCATGAATTACGAATGTACGACATGATCTGCTCCATCAACTCTGGCCTCATTCTCAGTCAAAACAATTTTAAATGACAGTGAAAACCGGCATGGAGAAGTGGGTCCGGGTCAGATGGGTAGGAAGTGACAAAGCCCCTTCCTGCAGCGGCTCCCAGAGCCCAGCGTCAGAGCGCCCTAAATCCTCAGTCTGGTTGCCTCCAAACGGCTTCATAGCTAGAGAGGATCGAGCTAAATACACAGACTTAGCGTCACTGGAAGAATGGGTGCTTATTTGGAGTTATGCTTAATAATTGAAGGGATTTAATAAGGGGAAATGGATCGATTTTTTTTTCCTGTATAAAAGCTAATCACACCTCCTGTGGGGTCCTGGCAGCTGTGGATGACCGTGACAAAGGGAGGAGTCTCGCATCCACAAGCCCAGGGTTGGTAACCTTTTATTGTGAATGGGGGAAGGTTCTGGAACAGATCACCAGTTTTTGCACATCGTACACATACTGCTGCTCGTGGTTCATCCCGGCTGCTCTCCTCCCTACCTGGGGCTCCGTCCCCATGTCTCCTTGCCAAGCCCCTTGCTCTTGGCCCTCCGGTACACCGCTGCCCCTTACGTCTCCAAGGGTCGGCTCTTCTGCAGCGCGCCCACATCCACAGTGCTGCTACTTCCCTCCTTGTTGGACTGAACATTGGCTGAACTCATTTCCAGACCGAGGGGGTGGCTGGGACCACTGTCACAGAGGCACCTGCTCCCCTGGCTGCTCACACCTCTGGTTCCACTTGGGGCTCCGCCCGGCAGGAGAAGAGAAGTCCCACGGGCTGTCATTCTTGCATTAAATGTTAAAAAGCAAGACCTTCGCAGAGTGAAACTCACAGGAAGGGCAAGCCCTGTCACAATGGCTCATTGTCCAACAGTATAATTTTCAAATCAGTAAATCCCCCAGCTTTAGCACCCCGTCCCGCCCCCATACCCCCGTCTGTTGTCTAGCCAGGGCCCTCCCACCCAGGTGTAGAGAGCACAGTAGGAGCTTGTGGGATGCAGGTGTTCACAGGTCACCACACTCAGTGAGGGTCCCCAGGGCCTCCCAGAGCCCACCTCTGACCCCCAAATAGCATTTCCCCCTGGCCCTGCCTGTCCCCCTTCTCACCCACCCACCTCCTGACACACCCTGCCCTCTGCCATCCATGTTCACAAGGTGTGTGTGTGAAGGCCTCTCGCTAGTCTGATTCAGGGGGACCCTATGGGGAAAGCGTACAACTGCCCCCAGGGGTGTTTGGGGCTGTAATCTTCATAAAAGCAGACCACCCTATCTCCCTCCCAGGAGCACTTGGCTGGTTCGAACCCCTCCTTTC